GTAATACGCTGCTTTCTTTACTGACATACAAAAATTTTTCTGTAACATTTAATTTTGTGCTGGAAAGCTAATGTTTGGAAATCTAAAATGTTTTTGTACTGACTCGATAATGTAGAAGTCATAAAATAAAAATCTATAACAAAGTTTTGTACTAAAAAAAATAGGATGCCTAAGACTTTTGCACAGTACTGTATTATAAATCCAGTCACCTTGAGTTCCTACCACACATATTTTGAAAATCTTGGAACTCTGTAAGCATTTTTATCCCAGGTCTTGTGTGTGTTGATGCACAGGGCACGAATATTGCAGCAGGGAGAGCAATAGGTGTCGTAGTGGCCACCGGAGTACAGACAGAAATCGGTAAAATCAGGGACGAGATGGCAGCCACAGACCCAGAAAGGACACCTTTACAGCAAAAACTAGACCAGTTCGGGGAGCAACTCTCAAAGGTAGTATGCTCCGTTTATTTTCACTGTCACTTTTTTTCTTCTCCTTTCCGCCTTCCTACACTCTCACACACTTATTAAGTTGGCATTTTTCTCACTGCCTTGTTCATAACTAAGTTTGCAAACAGAACAGATTTTTTAATATTTCATTTTCTTCTTCATTTCTCACATACACACTATCCTCCTACACCTATCTCCTATAACACACTCTTTTCCCCCACACATCATTTTTCTCTCTGTCAGGCTATGTTATGATTTTAACTGAATGTGTAATTTTGACTGTTTCTGTGGTGATCTCTACTAGAGTGGAGTGTATGCCTATATACAGATGTATGATACAGTGGATATAAAAAGTCTACACATCCCTGTTAAAATGGCAGGTTTTTGTGAAGTAAAAGAAAGAAACTAAGATCAATCATGTCAGATCATTTCCCATTTTTAATGTGAAATTGCAACATATACAAATAAAGTGACAAACAAACAGAAATTATTTTAGGGGAAAAAAGAAAAATAAAAAACTTACAATAAGCTAGTTGCATAAGTGTGCACACCCCTAAACTAATACTTTTGTTGAAGCACCTTTTGATTTTATTACACCACTCAGTCTTTTTGGGTAAGAGTCTATCAGCGTGGCACATCTTCACTTGGCAATATTTTCTCACTCTTTCTTCCAAAAACATTCAAGAGCCGTCAAATTGTGAGGGCATCTCCTGTGCACAGCCTGCTTCAGGTCACCCCGCAGATTTTTATTTGGATTCAGGTCTGGAATCTGTCTAGGGCATTCAAAAACATTGATCTTCTTTTGGTTGAGCCATTCTTGGGTCATTGTCGTGCTGAAAGGTGAAACTCCTTTTCATCTTCAGCTTACTAGCAGCCACCTGAATGTTTTACACTAAAATCGACTGGTATTTGTAGCTATTCATGATTCCTTCCACCTTGATAAAAGCCCCAGTTCTGGCTGAAGAAAAGCAGCCAGATGCTGCCACCACCACGTTTCACCATGGGTATGGTGTTCTTTTGGTGATGTGCAATTTTTGGTGCCAAACACACCTTTTGGAATTATGAAATTATTATACTTTTTGGAATTGGTTTCATCAGACCATTACACATTTTGCCACATGGTTTGGGGTGATTTAGTTGGGCTTGGGTGTTTTTTGTGACAAAGGGCTTCCATCTAGGTACCCCATAGCCCAGACATGTGAAGAATATGAGACGTTGTTATTGTCACGTGCAGAGAGTAATCAGTACTTGTCCGTTATTCCTGCAGCTCCTTCAATGTTGCCATAGGTCTCTTGGCAGCCTCCCTGGTAAGCTATTGTCTTGCTTTTTTTTAATTTTGGAGGGACGTCCTGTTCTTGGTAATGTCACTGTGGTGCCCCATTTTCTCCACTTGTTGATGATGGCCTTCACAGTGTTCCATGGTACAGCTGATGTTTTGGAAATTCTTTTATGCCCCTCTCCTGATCGACGTTTTTCGACAAGTATGATACTGTACATGCGGACCATGGCTTCAGCAGTCAAATCAAACCAAAAAGAGGTCAAGAAAATCCTCCAGAAACAGGTGATCTTTATTTGGGGTTAATCAGAATAATTTCATTGATGACAGCTGTATGATAATTACTTTTGAACATGAGATTGAATGTGATTGGTTCATTCTGAACACAGCCACATCCCCAATTATAAAAGGGTGTATACACTTTATGAAACCGAGTTATTGTAACTTTTTTATTTTTCCTATTTTTCCCTAAAATGTTTCTGGTTGTTTTTCACTTAATTTTAATACATTATAATTTCACATTGAGGGTGGAAGAAGTTCTGACATGATTTATCTTGGTTTCATTTTCGTCATCACAAAAACCTGCCATTTTAACAGGGGTGTGTAGACTTTTTATATCCATTGTATATTTGATATATAAATAATATAGTCATGATCTAATACAGATTACTACAGTTCTAATCTGGCTGTGTTCATCTGCTTTCTCTCTGTTTGCATAATCATGATTTTAACTGATTTTAAAGTGCCCAGGTCTGATTATATAGATAAATTTTATCTTTATAAAAAGTATCTGGGTAAAATTTGTTACTACTGTACTTTTTATTTTTCATTTGAGATTTTCTCCATAAGTCTGTAAAAACTGGAAATGCAGGAGCATTATGTGTGAGCTCAGTTTGTGATCTGGGGGAAAAAAAAAAAACTGGTTCCACATCTTGACACAAACACATTCAGTGTGCAGATTATTAGAGGATGCGCTAGTCCTCTGGCTGTACACCCTGTGTGCTAAGTTAGCCAGCTAGCTGACTTAGCTAATGTTAGTGATGAGCAACAGGTGTGATTAATGTGGTACTTTTAAAAGTACTTAAAAGTTTAACTGGTGTTGAAAGATAGAGTAGGATGAGGTTCCGATACTGAAATCCCACTCTTGTCTACCTGTGACAAAGTTACAGTTATCTACCTGGCTAATTGTCACCTGCAGTACAGTACAGCACAACCGGGACAGTGAGGTTGGGATATGGGGACATTTTCAGATTGCATATTTCTTGTAACTCAAATCACAGTTTTTTTTTAATTAATGAGCTTTTTCTAATACACTACCATTTCTATAGCAACAGCTCACTGACAGCAACTTGTATGGTGAACGCTAGACATATTCTACGGCTAATAATAAAGGGATTTAAAAAGTCTTATGGAAGGAGTCTCCAGTGTCAGTGCTTTGTAACAGTCAGTAAGGTTTCCACCTCAGGAGTCTTCAGGACAGAGAACTTTCTGGTTTCTCAGTAACATTATTGTTTATAGCTGCTATAATGTAAGTGATAACCATAATTAACTTGTTTCATTTTCCACAACATTAAATGTAACTATAAATGGTTAAAAAGCATGACATGTTGTTACATCACATTACGGTACATATATTAATAAATTAAAAAAAGTAATCGCTGACAAATTGCTGTGGAATAAAACAGTTCAAGGACATGCTGTTATTGGATAATTATCTTCTTCAGGATGGTAACAGTAACTGCGCTTTGTGTTGGGCCGCTTCACACCACCCTGATGATTATTTCCTATAACACCACATCGTGCCATTTTTTTGTTCAGTTTATTATTGCGTATAGGTTATTTTTTAATGGCTTAAAATTACATATTCAGGAGTGTTTTAAATGTTGCTATGGTTATAACCACACTTATAAAGTTTATGCCTAGATTGATATAATCTATATTGATATAAAGCCTCATCTTTCTATTTTTCTGTTTTATTTCTTGCTGTCTCTAGGTGATCACAGTGATCTGTGTGGCAGTTTGGGGCATTAACATTGGACACTTCAATGATCCTGTGCATGGTGGCAGCTGGCTGAGAGGAGCTGTGTATTATTTCAAGATCGCCGTGGCTTTGGCTGTAGCTGCCATCCCAGAGGGTACAGAATATATCTCAATCTCTTTTGAGTTCTTTCGTGCAACAGATTTGTACCATAAACTTAGATTACATACTACATACTACATACAACTACATGTGTTAATGAGTCTACAGTACCACATGCATAGCTCACACAAAGACACATTCATATTGTGTATCTTATCTATTAGATGTATACGTAGAGCACACCCTCCTTAAGAATCACCACGTAAATGACCTGTTTCTGCATTTTATGTTTCTCCTTTCTCTCTATCTTTGTCTGTCGTTTGTTTTGTAGGTCTTCCTGCTGTCATCACCACCTGCCTTGCTTTGGGCACACGTCGGATGGCGAGGAAGAACGCCATTGTGCGCTCACTGCCTTCTGTGGAGACTCTGGGCTGCACATCGGTCATCTGCTCTGATAAAACTGGCACTCTCACGACCAATCAGATGTCCGTCTGCAGGGTGAGACAGAACATTTCAATTCAACATTGTGTTCAGTACACTTCATTAGAAATTGTGTTCCAAGATAGTGCCAGTAACAGCAGCTTTGGCAGGTCGCTTCACCCTATGTTATGTGTTTCGCTCTATTAGTGTTATTAAGGCCATTGTTATACTTTAACTATGCATGCTCGTGATGGCCGCCTCCCTCATTCTGAGCTTTCTCGGTGTATAGCAGAAATCACCTTGCATTTCCTCCTCCTGTGTAATACCAACATACTGTGTGGCCCCAAACAATAGTTTGATGTCCAGAATATAGACTGTTCTATATAAAGCAATATATAGGAGACTCCAGGTCAAATTTTGGTGTCTGTCCAGGGAACACTGGGCACAGGGCAGGAGTACACACACTTCAAATCTAAAGACAATTTAGATTGTCCAGTCCATGTATGGGCATGTTTTTCAGAAGTGGGAGGAAACCAGAGGAAAACCTATGCAGACAATATATGAAACTCCGCTTAACCCAAACTCAGGATAGAACCAGGAATCCTGGAGCTGTTCAACGACAACATAACCTGCCTCATCACCCATGTGAAATTGTCTAACAACTGCCTGTCAGCTTAGTGTTTATCAAATTATATTTTTCATTTGCAGTTATGTATACGAACTTGGCCTCTCTGGTGTTATCAGGAAAATTTTGAGGTAATGGTTGTGCAGTGTGGGGGGCACGGTGGCTTAGTGGTTAGCACTGTTGCCTCGCGCCTCCGGGGTTGGGGGTTCGAATCCCACCTCTGTCCTGTATGTGAGGAGTTTGCATGTTCTCCCCATTCTTCAGGGGTTTTCTCCGGGTACTCCAGTATCCTCCCCAGCCCAAAGACATGTGTTGTAGGCTGATTGGCATTTCCAAATTGTCCGTAGTGTGTGTACAATTGTGCCCTGCGAGGGGTTGGCACTCCGTCCAGGATGTCCCCCGTCTTGTGCCCTGAGTTCCCTGGGATAGGCTCCAGGCTCCCCCGCAACCTTGTGTAGGATAAGCGGTACAGAAAATAAATGGATGGGTTGTGTAGTGTGATACTTTCCTGTGGAAATAATATGTATCAGTTTTACACTGGATTCACAATGCACTATGGGTAATAGTAAAATGAATATAATTTTCCACTGGAATTCAGACAAATACATGGCTATAGCAAATACCTTTAGATAGAAGGTTGTAGTATGCACTAGTTTATGACAGCAACAACACTTATGGTGAAAGGTTTTGGGAAAAAAAGCTAACAGAGTTTGTCTGCAGTGAAATCACATTTCCATGCTGCTCCATAGCAAAATATACATCCCAGAAGGGATGAGAAAAATGGCATGTAAACTTGCCAGTGAGGGTTGTTTTAGGCTCTGGTCTGCCCTCTAGTGGATAAAGCTTTTCATCCTAAAAATGCACAGAAGATGCAGTTTACAGGCAAGTGTGTGAACAATGCAGTAATGTGTCTTTTACCTTTACCCGAGTTTTCTTTATTTTTGTTACATGATTGTTACAAACCTATCAGTGTAAACATCTGCAGGATCAAATTCTCGGCAAATGATATCTTGCTTGCCCAATGAAACTGATTCTGATTCTGATAAAAGAAGGTTTTTATGTAACACAGACTCTTCCTAATGTGATTTTTACTGATAAATGCATGACTGTAGTGGCTGAATAACTTATAAACGTTTCTATTCACAAATAAATCATATAACAGATAAATATAATAGCAGAATGATTGAGCACAACTCTAATGATTCTAATTAACTTACTGTGTGTGTGTGTGTGTGTGTGTGTGTGTGCGCGTGTGTGTGTGTGTCTGGGCGGGCATGCATGCATGTGTGTGAAGATGTTTGTTGTGGAGAAGGTCACAGGCGAGAGGTGTGTTCTGAATGAGTTTACAGTGACTGGATCCACTTATGCACCTGAAGGAGATGTGTGAGTGATTTTAACATTTACTTATCACACACACACACACAATCTGACTAACCACAATACAACTGACATTGCTTCTGTACCTGTGTCATTGGCCTGCTCATGATGTAAACATAACGTTTGTAACTCACACTTATTTACCTCTTTGCCGGATATAATCTTCTCTTCTTATCACTGAGATCTTTCTGCACAGATATAGGGATGGTGCAGTGGTGCGCTGTAGTCAGTATGATGCCCTGGTGGAACTGGCCACAATCTGTGCCCTGTGTAATGATTCTTCTCTGGACTACAATGAGGTGTGTACACACATAAACACACATAAACACACACATGTGAACAGAAGTACAAGCATTGCTGTTCAAAAGTTTAGAAACTGGCTTTAGAAATTAAATATTTTAATATTTTAGCAGTGCGTTTTGTAGTGTTTTCTTATTTTAACCTGTATTAATGAAACACACAAAACAGTATCATAATGAAATAAGGAAGTACAGAATAGTAAACAATTATCTGTAAAATGATCTATAAGATAACTATTGTAACTATAATGATAATTATTAATGATTATTGAGATATAACATATTCTGTCCATTTTATTCTCTCTTCCTCACACACAAAATCCATGCATACACAGAGTAAATGTGTGTATGAGAAGGTGGGGGAAGCTACAGAGACCGCTCTGTGCTGTTTAGTGGAGAAGATGAATGTGTTCGACACAGACCTGAGGAGTCTCACCCCAGCAGAGAGGGCTACTGCATGCTGTTCGGTGAGAGTGGGTGAGAGTGGGTGAGAGTGGGTGTGAGTAGGTGAGGCTGGGTGAGAGGATGAGTGTGTGTGTGTGTGTGTGAGAGAGTGGGTATGGGTGGGCGAGGTTGGGAGAGAATGGGTGAGAGTGGGTGTGAGTAGGTGAGGCTGGGTGAGAGGATGAGTGTGTGTGTGTGTGTGTGTGAGAGAGAGAGAGAGAGTGGGTATGGGTGGGCGAGGGTGGGAGAGGATGGGTGAGAGTTGGTGTGAGTAGGTGAGGCTGGGTGAGAGGATGAGTGTGTGTGTGTGTGTGAGAGAGAGAGAGAGAGAGAGAGAGTGAGTATGGGTGGGCGAGGTTGGGAGAGGATGGGTGAGAGTGTGAGAAAGGGTGAGTGTTTGTGAGAGAGGGTGGGTGAGAGTGTGTGGAATAGGGAGTGGTGAGTGTTATCTGGAGTGCACATCTACAGCGTGTGAATAGAGACTTATTGTTCATCACCGTTTGTCTTTCTCGGTTTGCCTTCAGGTGATAAAGCAGTTAATGAGGAAAGAGCTGACGCTGGAGTTTTCTCGAGACAGGAAGTCCATGTCTGTCTTCTGCTCTCCTAACAAACTGGCCCGCTCTGCCACAGGAGCCAAGATGTTTGTTAAGGTCTGTTTGTCTTCTCTCTTCATGTCTATAATTTTAGCATAATGATCAGTTAGTAGTAGATCAGTCCAAAGTAGTGTTATTGACAGTGAGAGAAAAATGTAAAAAAAATAATAATAATCAATGTATAATAAAATGGATCCAGTAGCAGGTTATTTTTTATATAAGAGACCTACTCATTTCCGTCAGATCACTATTTGATCACATCTCTTTCCTCCCTCCTCCCTGTTAACCACAGGGGGCACCAGAGAGCGTTGTGGAGCGTTGTCGTTGGATCCGGGTTGGTGGCGGGGCACGGGTGCCCTTGACCTCTGACCTTAGGGAACAGCTCTTAGGCACAGTAAGAGAGTGGGGTTCAGGTCGTGACACCCTGCGCTGCCTTGCCATGGCAACCAGAGACTCACCACCCGACCCCCGAACCCTGAACCTGGAGAACTCATCTGCCTTCTCGGAGTATGAGGTAAGTCAAGCCAAGCAACATGGCCCATGTAGGTACTTTTTTTACACCGCCGAAACCTGAACAGTTTTACCACAAAAAAACTTTCTTTTATGTGGCGAACTCAGTACCATTCCCAGCGCCAATCACCTGCTGCCTGATACCTGGTACTGCTCAGGTTTGAAGCATCTGCATTCCCAAAATTATCTGAGTAGGGTCTGCAGCTATGCCCAATTTCTTGCCCCATTTTTTCCCAATTCTGAAAAAAAAAGTCATAGCACAGCTGAACATGCTTGGAGAACTGCTAACTGCTCTATTCTGTTTTGCATGAGCTGACAAAAGCCCCGTGATTGGCTGGGGAAAAAGCAATGCCAAGGTTAGTTTAACACCTTGTGGCATTTGGGCAGGTTTAAACACCGCAATCTCCGAGCATCCAGTCTAGGGGCAGGGATAATGCAACAAACTAATGTAGAAATGAATGTTTGTGTGTGCTTTACTGGCAATTGCAACAAACTGAATGGGTGATGCATTTTATTGTTAATTAAACTTCCTCTGAAAAGGTTTTCAGGCATCCTCGTCATTGTCAATCCATGTCTGAACAGAGGAAAAAGTATCGGATATTCACAAAAACATCTCCAAGATTGCAACAGAAATTCTGATACCGAGAATACGGCAGGACTTTTATCAGCAACACGACTGGATGATGCAATAGAATCTGTCAAGACTGATGTAATGTTTGCTGTGCCTTAGGCGATGTGCATGTCTGATCAAATCGTTTTGTTCTCAAGCTGGTGGAAATGCAGGCGGCTTCTCAAAACAGTGACAGCTATAGGTTATTATGGTCCAAAGCAATGAGCTAAGTAGCAACATGGGCTAATTGTTTGAAAAAGAAAAAAAAAAAGCTGTTATATTCTGTCAATATTTAAATAGACTAGGTTAGATGCCTCACTAATTTGTTACATTACAACATGTCAGTATCTTAGGTTTAACTATCATGCTATAGGCTGTATACTCTAAAGATCCAATAACAAAAAAAATCTACCCTGCAAGACTATGGGGCAGATTGCTAAATGTGGGGCAGATTGCTAAATAGGGGAGAAATTGCATTCATCAATTTGCATTCATTCACCAAATTGCATCCATCAATTTCATTAATAAGACACAGGACTCTGACTTGTATTTTTCATGTTGAATCAAAATTATTAATGATTTCCAAAAGTCCCATAATAAAAAGTACAGGACAGGAATATGATGGAGGCGTATACAGTATATTTTCCTCTCCTGCAGTCGGAGCTGACGTTTGTGGGGTGTGTGGGGATGTTGGACCCTCCAAGAAAGGAGGTACTGAATGCTGTGCGCATGTGCAGGCAGGCTGGAATACGTGTCATCATGATTACTGGTAAGTCTGCAATAGGTATGTGCTAATATGAAATCACTTTAATTGTCTATTCGTTGCAGCAGGTTATGATATGAAATAATGATACCGGAAGACCTTTCATTCACAATAACTTGCAAGCTTTTGTAATCAGATACACACACAAATGGGCTTTTTATGTAGTGTAACATATAGCTAGATACACTATATTGCCAAAAGTATTGGGACACCCCTCCAAATCATTGAATTCAGGTGTTCCAATCACTTGGCCTGGCCACAGGTGTATAAAATGAAGCATCTAGGCATGCAGACTGCTTCTGCAAACATTTGTGAAAGAATGGGTCTCTCTCAGGAGCTCAGCGAATTCAAGCGTGGTACCGTGATAGGTTGCCACCTGTGCAATAAGTCCATTCGTGAAATTTCCTCACTACTAAATATTCCATGGTCAACTGTTAGTGGTATTATAACAAAGTGGAAGCAATTGGGAACAACAGCAACTCAGCCACGAAGTGGTAGGCCACGTAAAATCACAGAGCAAGGTCAGTGCATGCTGAGGCGCACAGTGCACAGAAGTTGCCAACTTTCTGCAGAGTCAATAGCTACTGACCTCCAAACTTGGTGTGGTCTTCAGATTAGCTCAAGAACAGT